TGACTGGAATGATTTCAATCTTTTGGAATTTACCAAGACTAGATTTATGGCCCAGGATGTGATCTATTCTGGAGAAGGTTCCGTGTGCACTTGAGAAAAAGGTGAATTTGATTGTTTTGGGGTGAAACGTCCTATAGATGTCAATTAGGTCTAACTGGTCCATTGTGTCCTTTAAAGTTTGTGCTTCCTTGTTCATTTTCTGTTTAGTTGATCTATCCATAGTTGTGAGTGGGGTATTAAAGTCTCCTACTATTATTGTGTTACTATTAATTTCCTCTTTCATACTCGTTAGCGTTTGCCTTACATATTGCGGTGCTCCTATGTTGGGTGCATATATATTTATAATTGTTATATCTTCTTCTTGGATTGATCCTTTGATCATTATGTAGTGTCCATCTTTGTCTCTTTTCACAGTCTTTATTTGAAAGTCTATTTTATCTGATATGAGTATTGTGACTCCTGCTTTCTTTTGGTCTCCGTTTGCGTGGAATATTTTTTTCCAGCCCTTCACTTTTAGTCTGTATGTGTCCCTTGCTTTGAGGTGGGTCTCTTGTAGACAGCATATATAGGGGTCTTGCTTTTTTATCCATTCAGCCAGCCTTTGTCTTTTGGTTGGGGCATTCAACCCATTTACATTCAAGGTAATTATTGATAGGTATGGTCCCGTTGCCATTTATTTTGTTGTTTGGGGTTCACGTTTATACCACCTTTCTGTGTTTCCTGTCTAGAGAAGATCCTTTAATATTTGTTGAAGAGCTGGTTTGGTGGTGCTGAATTCTCTCAGCTTTTGCTTGTCTGTAAAGCTTTTGAGTTCTCCTTCATATCTGAATGAGATCCTTGCTGGGTAGAGTAATCTAGGTTGTAGGTTATTCTCTTTCATTACTTTAAGTATGTCCTGCCATTCCCTTCTGGCCTGAAGGGTTTCTATTGATAGATCAGCTGTTATCCTTATGGGAATCCCTTTGTGTGTTATTTGTTGTTTCTCCCTTGCTGCTTTTAATATTTGTTCTTTGTGTTTGATCTTTGTTAATTTGATTAATATGTGTCTTGGGGTGTTTCGCCTTGGGTTTATCCTGTTTGGGACTCTCTGGGTTTCTTGGACTTGGGTGGCTATTTCCTTCCCCATTTTAGGGAAGTTTTCAGCTATTATCTCCTCGAGTATCTTCTCATGGCCTTTCTTTTTGTCTTCTTCTTCTGGGACTCCTATGATTCGAATGTTGGGGCGTTTCACATTGTCCCAGAGGTCCCTGAGGTTGTCCTCATTTCTTTTGATTCTTTTTTCTTTTTTCCTCTCTGCTTCATTTATTTCCACCATTTTATCTTCTAACTCACTTATCCTATCTTCTGTCTCTGTTATTCTACTCATGGTTCCCTCCAGAGTGTTTTTGATCTCATTTATTTCATTATTAATTTTTAATTGACTTTTTTTAATTTCTTCTAGGTCCTTGTTAAACATTTCTTGCATCTTCTCAATCTTTGTCTCCAGGCTATTTATTTGTAACTCCATTTTGTTTTCAAGATTTTGGATCATTTTTATTATAATTATTCTAAATTCTTTTTCAGGTAGATTCCCTATTTCCTCCTCTTTTGTTTGACTTGGTGGGCTTTTTTCATGTTCCTTTAGCTGTTGGGTATTTCTCTGCCTTTTCATCTTGTTTAGATTGCTGTGTCTGGAGTGGGCTTTCTGTATTCTTGTGGTCTGAGGTTCCTTTTTATTGTGGAGGTTTCACCCAGTGGGTGGGGTTGGACGATTGGTTTGTCAAGGTTTCCTGGTTAGGGAAGCTTGTGTCAGTGTTCTGGTGCATGGAATTGGATTTCTTCTCTCTGGAGTGCAATGGAGTGTCCAGTAATGAGTTTTGCGATGGATCTATGTGTTAGGTGTGACTTTGGAGAGCGTGTATGTTGACATTCAGGTCTATGTTTCTGCGTTGCTAAAGAATTTGCATGGTATGTCTTGTACTGGAGCTTATTGGCTCTTGGGTGGTGGTTGGTTTTGGTGTAGGTATGGAAGCTTTTGGATGGTCTCTTATTCCTTAATGTTCTGTGTAGTCAGGAGTTTTCTGGTTTTCTCAAGATTTGGGCTTAAGTCTCCTGCCTCTGGATTTCAGTTTTATTCTTCCAATAGTCTCAAGACTTCTCCAACTATACAGCACTGATAATAAAACTTCTAGGTTAATGGTGAAAAGATTCTCCACCGTGAGAGACAACCAGAGAGGTTCACAGAGTTACATGAAGAATAGGAGAGGGAGGAAGGAGATAGAGGTAATCAGGAGGAGAAAAAGGGGACTCAAGAGGAGAGAGACAGATCTACGCACTTATCTGTTCCCAAAGTGTTCTCCGTAGCCCAGACACCCACAAAGATTCACAGAGTTGGATTGGGAAGAGAAGGGGAAAGGAGGAAATAGAGGTGTTCCGAGGTAGAAAACAGAGAGTCAAAAGTGGGAGAGTAATCACCACACTCCTGAATAGAAATGGGAACTGAATATTGGATTCTTAAATGACCAAAATTTATATCACATACTACTGAAAAACAAAGATTAAAAATCTAGTGTAGAGGTTAGACTCTTTGAAATACAATATTTAAAAACAAAAACACACAAAAAAATTTAGAAATGTATATGAAGTTTGATTTAAAAATAGGGTTTTTCTCTCTCTCTTTTTTTGGCAAGGTTATAGTGAAATGAAAATGAAAATTAAGGAATAATAGAGGCGTATTAGAGGACTTTAAAAGGAAATAGGAGAGAAAAACAAGAAAAAGAAAAAAAATTTTTTTTTTCCCTAATTAAAAAAATCGTAAGAATATAGTTGAGGAGTAATGGGGGAGTAATAGGGAATTTTAAAAGAAAATAAAAGAGAAAAAATAAAAAAAAATTAAAAAAAGGATAGAAAAAAATTTTTTTTTTAATTAAAAAAAATATATACATATATATCTAGGAATTTCTCTGGAGTTGTTGCAGTCAGCGTAGGTTCCATTCAATTTCAGATAGCTCCTCTTTCCAGCTTACACTTCTCGATATCTGTAGGCCCCTTCCGGTGTAGTCGGTGTTACCTTCAGGGATTTTAATCTGTTGCACCAGTCCTTTCTGAAGCGGTTCCCTTTGTTTATTTGGCTTCTGTTTGCCGTCTCTTTGGTGTCTAATTTCCGCCCTGACACAGGCGGGCGGAGGTGATCTCTTATTTAGGTTCGCCAGTTCAGTTCAGTCCTGCTACGGGGAGGGCGGGGCGCTGCAGACAGACACCGCTCTGTGTGGACAGCACTCACCGTGTTCCGGCCACACTGGGTTTGCCCCACTCACGGGTGTCAGTGCTTTCGCCGTCTACACTGCTCAGGCTCCCGGCTGCTCCATATGGAGCGGGCCCTGCGTTGAGTGCGGTTCCAATTTTCGGGTACTCCACAAAAGCGCAGATTCGGTTGCGCCTGCGTTTTGTGCCTTCCCCGGCCTGAGCGGTTCAGGCAGCCAGAGGCTTGGGCATACTCTCCCTGGGTGTGGCGCGCCTTTTCCCTCCGCGGAGAGCGGCCCAGGCAGCCAGAGGCTTGGGCGCACTCTCCCCCGGGTACGGCGCGCTTTTTCCCTCTGCGGCCCCAGCGCGCGCCGCCAGTCGGGTCTCAGGAAGTCTTTAGATAGGAACCGGGGGCCTCCCTTCGAAGACAGTGGGCTGCTTTTCTGGGCGCCTGATGTCCTCTGCTAGCGATCAGAAGTTGTTTTGTGAAATTTGCTCAGCATTCAAATGTTCTTTCGATGAATTTGTAGGAGAGAAAGTGGTCTCCCCGTCCTATTCCTCTGCCATCTTGGCTCCTTCCCCTAATCTGACTTTATTTTTATTTTTTTTTTTAAGTTTTCTTTTTTTTTTATTTATTTTTATTAGTTGGAGGCTAATTACTTTACATCATTGCAGTGGTTTTTGTCATACATTGAAATGAATTAGCCATGGATTTACATGTATTCCCCATCCCGGTCCCCCCTCCCACCTCCCTCTCCACCCGATCCCTCTGGGTCTTCCCAGTGCACCAGGCCCGAGCACTTGTCTCATGCACCCAACCTGGGCTGGTGATCTGTTTCACCGTAGATAATATACGTGTTTCGATGCTGCCTAATCTGACTTTAATATGCTGCTTAATTTTTTGAAATGTTTTCAGTTTTTTGTGTGGTCTGCTGATTTTTGTGTTGATGCAGGAATTTTTAGTTTTTATCTTTAATGTTTTTCTTTAAAACCTTGTCCATTTCTTAGAAAATATCTTGCATTGATAATAACATTTGCTATTTCTGTCCTGTAAAATATAAAATATAGTCCTCATAAATTTGGAAATTATGAAAGTTACAGGAATTTAGGAAAGTAATAGCTAACCCTGCCCTCTTTTGAATTCTAGCTCCTCCCCTTAGTGGCTCTGTGAACTTGCTTCAGTTATTTACTTAATAAGTTCTATAGTTTACTTTTCTGTAAAATGGGAACATCCTTGAAGTTCCAGGGTTGTTGTGAGAGTAAATGAGCTCCTATAATACCAAGAGTCTAACTTTATGGCTGGCATTTAAATTCTGCTGTTGCAGTCCCTGTTATTTTCTGAACTAGAGGAATAATCAGGCGAGCATCATTACCAGCAAACTGGCAGGGATGACTTTGGTGTCAGATAGTCCTAAGTTTAAAATTCAGCTTTTTGCAGTTTACCAGCTGACATCTTACGCAGTGGCACTCTAGGCTATTTCTCCATCTGTAAAATGAGGTTAATAGACGCACCTTTCAAAACGGGATGCAATGCTCAACAGGGACACCTGCAGTAAGTAGGAGGTTGGTAGCTATGATGAGGTGGTCACTGCTTGCTGTCTTTTTCTTTTTTAAAAAAATACTCAGTTTTTTCCCTTGAAGTGTGTAAATGTTAAGTTCATTTATAAAGAATTCCACTGAGAAAGGAAATGTTACAGGTTCAATGACTTGTTGTGATTAGATACTTTATCAGGAAACTTACTGCACATTCATTTTCCCCTTTGTTCTCTTTGCCGCAGCCTCACAGTCAGCCAAGTTGGCCAGAACTTCACATTCGTGCTCACTGACATTGACAGCAAACAGAGATTCGGGTTCTGCCGCTTATCTTCAGGAGCGAAGAGTTGCTTCTGTTTCTTAAGGTAAGGAAAATGGCTTTGGTTATTGGCTAGTTCTGTGAAACAGTGTCAGCTTTTGGGTTGCTCTTCTGTAATTAAATTTTCCAGCTGTTCTTTTTATTTTCCTATCTGCTTCCCATAAGTCACTGCACTTGGGGAGAAGAACTTTACAATGTTGTCCTTTCACTTTAAGTTCTACAGATAATTGTATTTATTTATTTGTATCACATCCCTTGGGTGGAAAAAGGGATCATTGCATCTGTGGAGTGTGCAGAAGCTGGAGAATCAGCATGGCTTCAGTTCCTCCTTCTGTTATCTGGAGCTGTCAGAAGTTAGCCTGTTAGGCTTTCCCTTGGACATTTTGTGTATGTAAGATTATTAATAAAGTATGTGTCTGCAGTTCAGGACGTCTTGCAGACACTGATTGTGTCCTTCTCAAAGTAACACCCCTGCCCCTTTCGGGTCAATGAGTGAGTAACTGTTTCCCAACTTGGCTCCCTCTGTAGAGGTTTTGAAAAAAGTGCAGAATCCTGTGAGAAGGCTTCTTTAGGTCTTCCAAAACTCCCTTCACACACCAGAAGCACACTTACTTAATGCTCTGTTTCCTCCTGCCAGAGGGGTAAGGCATATTCTGGGGTTGGAGGATGTGTGGAAATCTGATTTCAGAGCTGCTGGCTCTGTGGGCTCCTGCTGGGCGCCTCCTGAGGGGGAGGTAAAGGCATCCCACACACTCTCCTCCGCATCTGCCTCGGTTAAGTAGGTGTCAGAGGGGCCCGCCTCCTGTCTCTGCTCATGTGCAGCAGCAGAGGGCAGGACAGCAGGGAGGCGCCCCTGACAAAACCCGGTCCCCCGTCTCGGGCTTGAGCCTAGGAATGAGAGGCCAGACCCACTATGAATTCCAGAAGGGGTAGTTCTCTGGTGTACTAGTCTCTGCATTTTCTTTTCTTCCTCACTAAGAGCAGACCCCCTTGCCCCCCAGACACACACACACCCTCACACCATAGGGGTGGTGAGGGCTAACTTTCAATGTCTTAGCTCGATAACTGTCAGTCAGGAGTGCTACTTCTGCATTTCTCTACACAAATCTTATTATTGTTTTTAATCAGTGAAGTCCACTGGCTCCTTCATCAGGCATGATATCTCTAATTTGAGCACTAGAGGACAACTGCTGGAAAGACCTTAAGATGGAGGTACAAACCCGGCTGCTTTGCAAGACTCCTGTTCACAAGCACACCTCTAGCCCAGGCCCAAGGACTACCTGCCCTGAGTATTAGACTCTGATATAAATTATTATTTACTTTTTTATTTAACAAACTAGTTGAATAGCCTTTTGCTGTTATCATTTAGAATGAAAAATAGCAGCAATTGGTGTGTTTTCTGTCTGTTGTACTATCTGGGAACTATGGGGAAAAATTTGGTGGGTTAGTTCATTCATTTGTTTGTCGGTCCTTAATTGAGTGCTTACTATTAACTAGTCCTTGTCCTTAAAGAGTTCCCCAGATGAGCTGGGGAGATGGATGATCTCGCTGCAGTACGCTATATATAACACACAGAATGATACTCTGAAGTAGTGTCTTCTTACTGTTGCTAATCTAGTGCCCCAGAGCATAGTGGCTGTAGTTAAAAATAGTCTTCTGTGGATTCTGGGACATGCATTTCATGGGTATTTAACATGAGGCCAGAAGGCTCTGTTTATCTTATTCAGCTTTTGCTTAACAGGGCACACAAAATGGCACTTTACCTGTGCTTGATTTGGAAACATTGCTGGGTTGAGACTAGCATGTGAGTGGAGGAACTTGCTGTTAACCCTGGATAACATGGTGACATGTCCGGTGGAGAACATCAGTGGGACTTGGGTCTGGGTTACATTATTAGCATCATCTTCTTTTGCTGTTTGGTCTTCTCCCTTTTCTTCAGATGCTTTTCCTTCAGTTAATTTGTGTTTTAAAGTCCAGTCATGTTCTCAGTACTCTTAAGTCTGCTCAGCTGCCACCTTTATTTTTGCTTTTCCATTTCTTCCCTTGAGGGATATAGTTCCTAGTGATGGCATTTGTGCAGACATAGCCCCCACTGTTCTAGGATTTCGCTTCTTAGGATCACTTTTTCTCTCTCTCAAGTTCATTTGCTTCCTGGCCCACATGAACGACCAGACCTTTCTGCCTTCACAGATTTTTACCCATCCTTCCAGGCTCAGCTTGAGCATTTCTCAGAGTCACCTTTTCCAGGCAGAGGTAATCATCCCATCTTCTGGATGCACCCAGCATGCTTTGCACTGTTAAGCTATATATGCATAAGCCTTGATCTTCCTTGTCTTTCTCATAGTGAACAGTTAACTCTTCACTGGTAAAGGTTGTGTCTTAAGCAGCATCTGCATCCCCGTGACTTAGTGTAGTGTTGACAGAGGTGTGCATGACTTTCAGAGACAGGGAGATCCATTCCATTTGGTTGGAAAAGCAGGATCCTGAGGGCTCTGAGTGGGAGCACAGGCTTCATTGGATACTAATTCAAAGAGAAAATATGCAATCCAGTTATTGGCAGAAACATGGTTCATATTACCAGACAATTTGTATTAGTCGTAAGAGGTGCACCTTTTATTCTTACACTGTGGATTCAGTGATGCAGTGGACACGCGTTGTGTCCATAAAGAACTAGGTCATTAGTATTTTACAAAATTTAGACACTTTTACAATGAAAGGTTGTTAGACATCCTTTATTCAATATAACTTATTAGATTCATTGTTAGGGGCATTGTCTGTTCCTCCCCACTAGAATATAAGCTTCATGAAGCCTGGGAATTCTTAACCTGTTTTGTTCACAGATACACCCAAAGTGTATTGAAGAATGTGTCTGTACATAGTAGACAGTAATACTGGTTTTATGAAGGATTGAATCCCTGAGTTTATTAAAAAAATTTTTTTTCAAAGTTTTTTTGAACTCTTGTTACCAGCTAACCTTGACAGAGATGTAGTTGTACTAAACTAAAATATCTTATTAACAAAAGTACCATGGTATATAAAGTCAAATGCATTATTTCCTCTCACAATTGACTGTCTCTTTATCTTAAAACATTTTACTTTTATTTGAGAGTCACCATTATATTATTTAGCTAGTTGCTAGATGGTCTGTGTGTGTGTGTGTGTGTTCAGTCACTTCAGTCATGTCTGACTCTTTGCAGTCTTATGGACTGTAGCCTGCCAGGCTCCTCTGTCCATGGGATTTTTTAGGCAAGAATACAGGAGTGGATTGCCATGTCCTCCTCCAGGGGATCTTCCCAACCCAGGAATCGAACCCACGCCTCTTATGTCTGCTGCATTGGCAGGTGGGCTCTTTACCACTAGTGCCACCTGGGAAGCCCCAGGTTAAAAGCACCAGCTAGGAGAACATGAGTTATGAGTAAGTTAGTTGTTCTTTATAAACCCAAGAATCTAAGAAAGTATTTTAGCATTCTCAGATAGCACCATCTGAGTTTAATATATAGTAAATATTTACCACTGAAATCTTAATATTGAAAGACAAAGACAAAGTGACCCAGATCACTTTTTTTTTGTGGCTTATTTTGCCCAAAAACACATGCCCCAACAAGGCTAAAATGTAATGAAATATGCTATTTATAAGCAGCTTTTGGTTTTGGATGATCAGAAGAAATGTAGGAGTTCAAAGTCATAACTGTATTGCTTGGAGTGGGGAGCAGTAGATTATGGAAGATGAGCCATACTATATTAATTTATTCTTTATAAAGGCACTTTAAAAATATTTGCATTCTACAATTTTCTACTTAATGTAGGGATCTTATTTCAGCTCTTGAGAAAACTTGAATAGCAATCTTTATACCCAAATAGAGTTGTTCAGAGCCTCTTATACATTTTGGGAAGAAATAACTTGTTTCATCAATATGGCATCTAAAATTTTTTTAGCCTAACATTTAAAGTTTTTATTCAATAGTAAGTATCTTAGTATCTAGCATATTTCAGGAATGAGCAATGCATAACATGTGATCTTTGGCCTTTATTTACCTCAAGTTCCTAAAATAGACACACAGATATAGCCTCAGCTCCCCATATGAGAACCTTTCAGATGTCCTTTTTACCCAAGAGTTTGGTAGCTGAATCTTCTGAACTTGGTATTTCAAACTGTAAACAATATGTACTTTTTTCCCTTTACCAAATATGAAATTGAATTTGCTTCTAGGTGCACTGTTCCAGGCCACCTCTGATTTTGATACCCATCTCCCATTTCACTTCTACTACCCTTAGTGTCTTGGGGGCCACTTCATCTTTGGGAAGGGACTATGTAAATAAGTAATTAAAATATATTGTGATAGATGCTTTTTTAAAAAAATATGTATCCGTAAGGTTCTTTGGGGTCACAGATTAGGCGGAGCTCATGTCTGACTTGGAGAATCAGAGAAAGTGTTGCTGATGGGTTCCAGTTAAATTGGACCTTAGAGAATCAGTGGAGGCTTGCTTGGAGGAGAATGGGGAGAAAAGCTCTCTGGGCAGTGAGAACTGGTGTACAAAGGTCCAGAGAAATGAAAGGTACAGCAAGGTGAGAGACTGATGAGAATTCTGATGAAAGATTGATAGCAAGAGAGGATGCTATAAAAGTCTTGGGACAAGACTGTGAAAGTCTTTGTGGGCCATGCTCAAGATTTTGAATTATCCCATAGAAAATGGTGTGTCATCTGATGGTCTGGGGCAGGTGTTAGCAATACTGATGTTTGTAAATGAAATTGCTGTCTACACAAACTTGGGGTTTTCTGGTTATTGTTAGAGGAATGTTGCCTATCACTTTGGGAATAACATCTGATTTAGATTGGAATTTTCAAAACTTAACTTTAGTGTTTTTTTTTTTAAATTATAACTTAATAGGATGTGTTCCTTGGCTCTTGTTGGGGAGTTATTATCCTTCCTTCCATGCAGATTGGCCTGTGAGCTTATGTTTAAACTTTGTGTTAAGTGAGGACCATCTTCCTTCTGGAACATTTTCTGACTTAATGGCAGGAACAACTATTGTATCCTTTTTTC